TTGTGGGTTTTTTTCTTCCCCAAAACAAGCCTATCCATTTGACAATTCCTACCCTACCCAGACTCTTAGTATTTCAATTCAGGAACCTTTTGTTTCCTTCTGGGAGTTCCTTCAATGTCTTTGAAGCCGGCCACACCTATGACTGGAGAACACCTTTCTGACATGCAGCCTGTTGAACTTTGATTTTAAACCATTTTGTAGAGTGGTAAATAATGAAGATAGAAAACTTTAGAAGAAGAGCTGCTTCTAAAATGTGCTCTTCATTCCAAAGACAAAAAAAAAATTGCATTAGGTTTAAGGAAATGAAGTTGAAAGAAATCTCTTAAGAATTTAGCACTATTATGGGTCAAATTGTGTCCCACAAAAATGATGCGTGAAGTCTAACCTCTGGTACCTGTGAATGTGACCTTGTTTGGAAATAGGGTCTTTGCAGTTGTACTCAAGTTAAGAGGAGATCATACTGGATTAGGATGGGCCCTAATGTAAGTGGCATTCTTATACGAAAAGGAAAAGAGACACAAACACGGGGAAAGACATGTGAAGACAGAGGCAGAAAGTGGAGTGAGGCAGCTACAAACTAAAGAACAGCAAGGATTACTGGCAACCAGCACAAGTTAGGAGAAAGGCCTGGAACAGACCCACCTGCAGCACCTCCAGAAGAAACCAACCCTGACAAAAGCTGGATTGGGGACTTCTGCCCTTCAACACTATGAGAGAATAAATTTCTGTTGTTTTAAGCCACCCAGTTGGCAATATTGTGTTAGGGCAGACCTAGGAAAGGAATGCAAGTGCCCTAGCCCAAATCATGAACTGTTCCCTTATATGAAGTCTGCCTTTAACACCTCTCCCCAGTCTGATGCTTGTCTATCTGACACCTAGACATGCAAATAGAGAGCAACCACAGAGCGCCAGCCCCTCCCCTCCAGATGGGTGGCATTTAAAGAGTAGGGGCTACCTTCAACCCACTCTGTGTCCTCAGCACCTGTGATCATGAGAACCCTGAACAAATATTCAGTAAATGTTGGTTGTCTGAACTAAACTGGAGCAAGCTCCTGTGAGCTCCAGGGGGTTTGGGTGGATTGGAGGCTGGGCAGGGAGAAGAATCATTTTTCTGCAGTTACAGGGAGGCAAATGTCAAAATGCATGTCCCAAAGGAGAGTTCTGCAACCGAGTTTCAAGCGTACATCCAGGCAATGGGGCTGCTGATTAGCCGGCCAGGTGCTAAAGAAATAGCAATAGTGAGGGGACAGGTTGGAAGCTTCACACAAGTTGCCTTGATTATCACACCAATGAGGCACCCTGATCTGGAGTACACAGACATGCACACTTCTGCGGAGGACAGTGGCAATTGCTTAGGTTTTTGGCTGCTCAAAATCCAATCCCCATTTCTGTAAGATCCTAACCCCAGTGTAAGATCTGTGGTGTTCTGCTATGGCAATGAGTAGGAAGAAGTCAAAATTCAGGAATGAAATATAAGTAAAGTCACTTGGCCTCAGATCTAAAACCTTATTCTCCAATTATTTATCCATAATGAATGTGATGTTTTAATATATTATTACTGTATTTATCTCTCAATGGGCTTTAAGCTCAAAAAGCGAAGAAAAATGTCATTTATGGGGTCCCAAGGAACTCAGAAGTGAAATTCTAGGCACTAATGTCATTCTCAATGTTTGACAGTTGAAGGACGCCATTGATTCTGAAGAAAGAGAATTAGGTGGTATCTTCAACAGAAACTGCTGTTCTAGATTTGCTCCTTAGCAAAATAAATCATTAACATCTGAATTGGTATGCAGTGACTGATATATATAGATATATATAGATATATATATACATATATATGTGTGTGTGTATATATGTGTGTGTGTGTGTATATATATATATATGTATATGTATATATATACCAAGTGCCAGAAAACACCAGAAGAAGTTTGCTTTAACCTGGCAGAAACACCAATATACTTGTTCTGTCTCAAGGAAACATCAAAACACCTGGTCTGTGCCACAATTTCAGCCACAGAGTCCTTGACCGTATTCCCAGCCCAGGTGCCAGGATGTTAGTCTGCAACATAAATTGCATCATGCTGTTAGGACCAAAAAGTAGGAAATAGCAAGCACCGTAGATGCTTTTGGTAGGACACATGCCAACCATCAGTCCTACAAAAAATAAATCCTACAAAACAAACAAATAAATAAATTCTATAAAAATGTAGATTTTATGTCTATGAATTCCGTAATACCAGCATTTGAGGGCATTGTGCAAGTCTCTCAAAAATGAGCGTTAAGGTGCTGGGCCTTTTACTTCCTACCACTTACAAAGAGGCACCATAATAGGGGAGCCTCAGAACTTTAGAGACAACATGTGTTACATTAGGACTTGCCACGGCAGTCCATTTGGGGGGTAAACTACCAGCTTCGAGTGGAGTACACAGGAGAAGGAGGATCTCCACCTCCTCCAGGCGGTGACGCAGTCAGTTGTGCAGCTTACATATCATGCCCAGCAGGCCCAACAGTCCTTACCGGAATGCCATATGGCACCACAGCAAGCCTCCAAATAAGAACGACAACAAGAGCCATTGAAGTCTAAGGGCAAATCCAGGCCTCATTCAGCAAATGGTTACACTCCTCTTACAGAGAAGCTTCTGGAATTGCTTCTGGGCCCTGCTGAAGACTGAATGACTAAAAATGGGACACAAGATAAACCCTCACCCCGAGTTGAGCATCACGCATGGAATGTTGAATGATCTGCCCAGCCAGAAAGTTAGCGTGCCTGGCTGCATTCCATCATCTGTGAAAATAGCACACAGGGGACCAAGCTCACAGGTTCTTAAGGCACAAGTAAGTGGCAGGAACAGCATTGCTCACGCTCCCCAGTGCCCACTCCTGCCGCAACCCATCTGCCCCAGCACCCCTTACCTACAGCTTCACGGGGAGGTGCCTCAGCCCGGCAGACTGAGCCAGAAGCACTACAGTTTTGAGGGTTTATTATTAATAGTTCTATCCAGGAACCACAGAGAAAGGAAATCTGCCCAGGAAGCTAAACTTCAAGCAGTACCTTTCTTTGTCTACTTTGCAAAGGAAAGAATGAAGAAAAGAAGGCAAGGAAGGAGGGAGAGATGGAGAGAGGCAGGCAATGGGTTTATGCCCATGGGATTCATTTGGGTTCAGGACGTGTCCTCAACCAGAAGCTGCTGTACTCACAGACGGTGCCCTGGTGGGTGGAAGAATCAGTCCCCGTGCCAGTAGGCTAACACCTCGCAAGCCGGGACACCATCTCGCAGGAGGTGATAAATACTCTGAACAGGGAATCAGCCATGGTCCTGTCGCCATCATAGTCACTAGAGAGTGTCTGAAACCAAGAGACACAGGAAGGGTTTGAATTTCCATGCCATTTTGCCACACAATTTTTGCCTCCCATTCTCACAACTTCGGGCTGTGCTAGTTCAATGATTTGGGGGGAAGCTCCGCTTTGGGGAGGCATGCTCTCCACGAGGGGGCGTAACTGTGGTCACACTGAACTGGAATTTGACACAGCCGTCCGGTCAGTTCAGGTTCCCTATGCCACTGGGAAAGTAGGCCAAGAAGAGAGGCAGTCACCAAACTGACCAGGGTATTTTATCCAGGTTGTCAAGAAAAAATAAGATTTCTAATTAGGGGAACATGGGAGAAGTAAGATGGAATTTAGGGATCCCCTGGGTGGCTCCTACTCCTGCCATATCCAGTGGTAAAAGTTAGTGGAAAACTTCTGCAGCCCCATACCAAGGGCTCATATCCCTCAAAACTAAACACTGGGGCCACCCACCAGGGTGACCAGGGAAGGGCTGGCTGGAGGCAAAATCAGCGCAGAGCTGGAAATGGAATCCTAAAGGGAAGCCACAAACACCAGTTATGCAGAAACGAGGACGGTGTCTTGTATCCGTACTTCCTCCCTTGCAGTGTCAAGCATTTGTGTATCTTACTGAAGTTTCCTCTTCTTTCTTCTCCATTTTCCCCACCATTGTACATGTGGGTAACAGTAACAATGAACTTGACAATGAATCCACAGGTTTCAGAAGGAACTGGGACACAGTCTGGGTGCAGTAACTGCTCAGTCTTTTGTTTCTGTTCCATTGGGAGGGGCTAAGTCCATTTTAGTCATAAGAAAAGTGTATGTGTGTGCACGTGTATGTGTGTGTGTGTATGTGCATGTGTGTGCATATGTGTGTGTGTGTGTGTGTGTGTGTGTGTTTTGGAAGCACAAGTATAGAAAGAAGTGTCTGTGTGGAGGTGGGGCAGCCAAAGAGGTGGACGTAGGGGACATTTGTTAGTTCTTATTGATACCTGGGAACAGCTCTTCCTAACTGGAGGGAAACCCCACAGCGAGGAGCCGCCTGCCCTCTCCAGAGCAGCCTGGCTGGGAGTGGGGAAACCCTCCCTCGCAGCCAACAAAGTCGCCCAGGGAAATGAGGACAAGGGTTCCTTTGCAGCCGCTGTGCTGGCCAGCATGGGTGATGAGAGCCCTGATGGATGGTCAGCCTGGCCGCCTTCCAGAAGACGAATGTTTACTTCCTGCTCTTTTTCTCCCTCAACATCGGGGAGTTCCCTTATCCTGTTCAGTTTTGAAGCCTGGTCCTCTAGCATCTGCTGAGTCCAAAGCCTCCAATACCCTTCCAATAATGCTGTGGGGTGGAGAGGTGCCAGAGTGGATGCTCATACTTGGAACTGAGACCCCGCCCTGACAGCAGAGTGACTCTGAGTGCGTGCTGAGTTAGGCTCACTGAAGGGGTCTTGGGCACAACAGACAATGACAAGAAGCTTTTAAGAAAGATTAGTCAACTTTATATTCTAACCACTGCGGGGAGTGGATAGTCCCTTCACATGCATGAAAGATCTTGTTTTGACTTACTACAACCCTGTGAAGTCAATATGATTCTTATGTCCATTTTAAAGATGAGAATACTGTGGCACAGAGGGGTTAAGTAAATTTTGCAAGTCACACAGCTAAACTGTAGAAGGCTGGGCACTCAAACGCAGTGGGTGGGTAAGAGCAGAAGCTCGGTGAAGGGTCCCATGTTCTAGAATCTCATCTGACCTACGCTCTCCTTCCTCTCAGGAGAACACCTTCTTCATGCAGCAGTTTTCTTCTGGAAACCAGAATACTGGATACTGAACCATAGCAAGGTTCACCCAGGTGGTCCCGGCTTGAGGAGGGTAAGAGTCCTTTCATCCACGCAGGTCTGTGGAACTCACAGTATTCCTCCACATCTGGCCAGACAGCTGCCTTCCCAGCATTCGTCCCAAGAAATAGGACCTGCCATCTCTACCTGGATTCTCCAGCCCCCAAAGCCACAGTGTTCTACCCTACCACTCCCTCTCCCCTGCAAGACAAATGGAGTGACCTCTCTGCAGCATTCTCAGGAGTCCCTGGGGGCGAGAAGACAGGTCATGGTCTAGCTCTAATGAGTGGCCAAAGCAGGGACACGTGCAAGCCATCAGGGCTGGCCTGAGGGTGGCAGTTGCCTGACCCCTGTTTTTAGGAAGCCTATGCAGGGTTTTATAGCCCAGAGTTCCCTGTGACCCACAAGCCTTCCTTTACTGCTGGCCCTGGAAGAACTCCAAGCGAAGAACTTCAAAGCTGCTTTCTCATTATAAATCTCACAGCCTGGGGAAGTTCTGCCCACCCATGTGAAACCACCAGATCTGTGACTCATATGGAGGTTTCTAAGGCTTCCCTGGCTTTGCTGAATATTCCTTTCCCTCTCAGGTTCTTGTTAAATCAGCTTACTTAGCCAGGCAGCAGATCCTATCCAAATACCACTTTATCCTGTCACTTCCCCTGAGACATGACATCTCCAGGTAGCCTTCCTCTGGCCTATGGGTCCCCACAGCACTTTGCCCTTACTCCTAGCAGAGCACAAGTACATCCAAGAACCTGCCTTGAGTGCCAAAGGTCCCCTAGGCCAGTGGCTCTCAACAGAGACTGTTGAGACTTCTGGTGATGTATGGAGACATTTTTGGCTGACACAGATGGGGAGGGGTGCTACTGGCATCTAGTGGGTGGAGGCCAGGGATGCTGCTAAACATCCCCATTCTTTGTTTTTTCAGACGACAAGGAATCATCTGGCCCAAAATATCACTAGGAGGTCTGGATTTAGGGGCATGCAACATGTACAGTTGACAGGACTCAGCTCTTAAAAGTGTTCCAGGCTTTAAAGCTCTGCTGTTGCCATGTTGGAATTCTTAATAACTTTTGAGCAAAGAGTCTATGTATTTTCATCTTTCCCTGGGCCTCACAAATTGCACAGCTGTTCAATAGTGTGGAGGTAGAGAAACCCTGTTCTAGGCTCTGCAATAGGAATGTAGCAATGACGATACTGTCCCTGCCCACAAGGAGCCATTATCCAGTGACGGGGGGCGCAGGAAGAGATAGTGCACTTGCCTGTCTCTGTGCTGGGGGGAGCAAGCGTGAAGTGGGGAGCACCTGACCCAGCTTAGAACATCAGGAAAGGCTTCTTGGGAAAAGTATCACTCAACTAATTCCAGAGGGATGAGTAGGGGTTTTAACCACAGGGAGGGAAGAGGATGGGAAAGAACCCAACCAAAGACACAGCATGTTCAAAGGCACCAGGCTCTGAGAAGGTGGGGGCTGTGTCAGGACTCAGGGCAGTTCTGTTTGGCCAGAAGACAGAGTGCGACGAGATGAGAGATGAGGCCAGAACATTAGTAGGAGCCAGATCTCAATGACATTAAGGAGTTCTTGAAGGATTTCAAGTAAAGTAGTGGCATGATTAAGTTTAGTTTTAGAAAGACAATCAGAGGTGGTACAGCAAATGGATTGGAGGATTGGGCATTGAACAGGAAGACGAGGTAAGGGGCAGAACAGCAAAGAAGCTAAGAAATGACAGCAGCTGAGCGCAGTAAGACAGTGGTGATACCGTAGGGGGAAGAAATGGCTCCAAAGATGCAGAGGGGGTACAGGATCTGATGAGTATTGAACAGATACCATGTATAAGACGCGTATGTTTAGAATCTCTTTACCATCTCTTTTCATACTGACAACAGACTTACAAGGAACGTGGCATTTTCATCATCTTTTCCTCATCTTCCTCATTGAGGAGATCGATGCTGAAGAGATTAAATACCTTGACCAACATCACACAGCTGGCAGTGGCAGAGCCACTGTGCAAAGGTAGGCATGTCTGAAGCCAAAGCTGTGGTCTTTCCACAAAGCCAGGTAGCAGCCTCACGTGTACTGGGGAGCAACCAGGTGACCGGGAACACGTCCCTGCTGGCCCCAGGCCGGGTGCTGTCCCTATCTCAGAATGCCAGCTCTGCTCCCCCAGCTATGTGTCCACTTCAGGGCCCTGCAGGGGTTGTATGCAAAACCCCTGGCTTTCCGGTGTCTGGTTGATTTCTTGGCACCTGGTAGATAATTATTAAATAATAATGAGTAAAGAAAGAGAACAATTATAGCAAAAATGTAGAAGAGTAAAAACTATACTTTCATCGACATCACTAAAAATCAAAGAAAAGCAAGCTAAAATCCTAATGGGATACCACCTCTGCCTATTAGATTGACCTGTGGCAGGTCACTTGGTACAATCTTTCCCAAAAGTGATGTGACATGATGCATTCAAGAGTCTTTTTTAAAAATATATATACTTTTTGCTGAATTCTTGATTATTTCCTTAAGACCTTGGCAAAGATTTATACACAAAGATATTCATCTCAGTCTTTTTAATAATTTAAGACCAAAAAAAAAAAGAGGAGGGAGCAATTTTCCAAAAACTGGCAGATGAATAATGATATAAATTCAAATGGTGGCATTTGAATTCTACAGAATTTTCAATGACATGAAAAATTTACCACAATATAACACTAAGGGAAAAAAGAATTTCATAAATACACTCAATTGTATATACAGTGAATTCTTCACTTTGTGTACACAGAGTTCCCAGCTGGAGCTTAAGCCCTATTTACCCTTGGGATTGAGATATGTCTGGAAATGGCAAGTGGAATGATGGGATGGATCTGGGGGAATTATACCGGGAGAGAAGTCATCATCCGGAGGGAAAAGGCCAGGCAGACAAGCTTAACCCAGACACAGAACCTCATAGGCAGGCAGGGTGGGGTCGTGCTGAGAAAGGCGGGGTGCCTGTCACTCCATTCATGAGGAGCTCAGAATATATCTGAGCCCACAGAAAGGAGGGCTGCTGTTCAGATTATCTGTCACTGAGTGACAAACTACCCCAAAATCTAGTGGCTTAAAACATCAATTTATCATTTCCAGTCATGGTTCTGTGAGCCAGCTGGGCTCAGGGGGCAGTCCTCCCTCGGGGTCTCTCAGGTGGTTTCGGCCAAATGGCAGTTTGGGCTGGAGTCATCCGAAGGCTGCGTACCCAAGATGGCGCACTCACGTGGTGGGCAGGTGGCGTTTCCTGCCCCTTTCAGAGGGCTGTCGGCTCAAGGGCCTACACGTGGACTCTCTACAAGGCCTCTCACGCCAGGGTGGCTGGCCTCTGAGAGGAAGCGACCAAACCAGGAAGGAGCATTCCAAGATATCTGGGCAGAGTGGCGAGCCTTCTTCCAACCTCGCCTCAGAAGTCCCAGGGCACCCTTTTGGATGCATCCTGTTGGTAAAGCAAGTCACTGAGACCAGCTCAGATGCACAGGGTAGGGGACTAGTTCTGCCTCGATGTGAGGAACAGCAGGCATGTGCAGTGCAGGAAAGGGTAGATGGCGGCTGTCTCGCAAGCCTGTGTACCACAACTGTGCTCCACAAAGAACTCTGAAGAGGGACTGAGACTCCCACCTCTACAGAGAACCGAGTCTGGCTTTGGTACCCTACAGACTCTGGAAAGCACAGCTGTTCTTCTGTACCTGGAGGAAGGCTCTCAGGTGCTAGGAAGAGCCAAAGTGCCTGGCAGCTGTAAGGTGTGGCAGTGCCCCTAGGAAAGGCTTAATGGTGGCCCTGGCAGCAAAGGCAAGGCATATTCAGAGCATGGAGGACTCTGGAGTGAACATCATTGTAAGGGCCATGATTCTAAAAGTAAATAGGGAAGTAGTTCCTGAGTTCATCTGAGAAAGCCCTTAGAACTTTCCAGAAATAATGAGGGAGGCCTTTGCAAGAGGAGGGGCAGCAGGGGTCCTGTGATTCCAAATAGAGGTAAAAGCCAGGAAAATACAAGTTATGACTATTAATATGACCCCCATTTTTCATCCCAGCTTGATGCCCAACAGGCTCCATGACTTACTGAATATGAATATTTATGTTTCTATGAACACATATATAAACATATACATGTACACACACACACAAATGTGTTTGGGAAAAAGACACCAAAATGTTAACTGCTATCTCTGCTAGCAGATATGTTTGATATCAAGTCAGCGTTTTTGACTATTTTCTTTGCATATTTTTCCATATGTTCCCAATTTTCTATGATGAACATATTGTTTCTGTAACTAGAAATAAGTACATTTTTTAAAGACAGGCATACACCTGACCTTTAGTAATGGTGCTTGCTCTAATGAGGTCCTGAAAGGAGGTCTCCCCTGCCCAGGCCCTGGCTCTGGACATGACAAGCTCGGTAGCCCAGGACAGTCTGTGTGTTCTTGCTCCCAGCAGCTTTGCCTTCGGGGGGTGCCCAGGGGAGCCGTGAGCACAGCAGGTGTGGAGCCCATGGGTAAGGGTGTCCAGGGAGACCCTAGGTGAACGCCCACCAAGCCTGTCATCCCCGGCATTATCCTGCCAGGCCCTCAGAAGTTGTGCTTTCTTCACCCACCATCCATGGGCCCTCCACTTCCACACACTCTCCCACACTCCCCTCCATCCAACCCAGCCCTCTCTATTCAGCCCTAACCTCCTGCAAGTCTGACTGCATCGCTTCTGCCTTCCAAGGTGAGGCCCAGTCTCTCACTTTCCCTTAGCTCTCTCTCTGGGGAACGCCCTATCCTCCACTTCTTCTGGCAAATTCCCTGCCCCTGTGGAGAGTCTGCACAGGCACTACCTCCTCCAGAAAGCCTCCCAGGCACTCGCGCCCTCTGCCCTCAACAAACCTTGAAGGACCTTCATGCCACGCTGGCCTCCTCCCCATGCTCTGCCTCCTCCCTGCACTGTCCTCACCACCTCTTCATGGCCTCATCCCTCTCCCAGCTCCACTCCAGATTCCCTTGCAGGCACAGGCCAAGACTGATCCAGCTGGGAATCCCTGGCATAGTCCGTGTGCCTCCTGCTCCCACACGCCTATGAGCCCTGCCTCTTGAAGAAGCTAGCGTGTCTAGCTTCAGACTTAGTTAGAAGGTGTCAGTGTGGGCTGTCGGGGCCACAAATTATTAAGAGCGAATTATTAAGAAAGTTATGATGAATTACAGACTGTCTGAAAAAATGGCAGTTGGAAGAGACTCTCCTAATGGTTTCTTCTAAAAACTTCCTTTGAGGGACAGAGTTTGCTCAGGGCATTCATACACCTTGTCTTGTCTAATCACCAACAATCCAGTCAAGTGAGGGAATGGGGCTCAGAGAAACAAAGGGATTGCCTGGAATGCACAGCACGCAAACGCTGAGACTGTCTGGCTGCCAAGCCCGTGCCTTTCCCTCCAGACCAGAGCAAGATGGAAAGTCTATTCCCCGGGGTAGATCTGGGAGCTTTCATTAAATTAAAGTCATCTGTCCACATGGGAAGGGGCAGAAAGAGGCATTTCCCTTCCTAAAATATCTGAGCTGGTTCTTCTTGCTTTCCGTCAGTGCCTGCTACAGACCGAATTGTGTTCCCATCAAATGTCGAAGCCCTAACCACCAATGTGACTGTATTTGGAGACAGGGACTTTATGCAATAAAATAAGGACTTAAGGGTGGGTCCTGATCCAATAGAACTGGTGTCTTTACAAGAAAAGGAAGAGACACCAAAGATCTCTCTCTCAATCTCTCTCTCTCAGTGTGCACAGAGAGGGGAGGCCATGTGAGGACACAGCAAGAAGGTGGCCGTCTAAAAACTTAAGAAAGAGGCCTAAGGAGAAACCAAACCTGCCAACACCTTGATCTCGAACTTCCAAACTCCAGAACTGTAAGAAATAAAGTTCTGTCATTTAAAATACCACCTGTCTGTAGCATTATGTTATAGTAGCCTTAGCAGACTAAGACAGTACCCAAACAGGAAAACGGACTCATGTTGCATCTGTCTTGGCCTTAATCACCCCTAAGGAGCCAGGTAGCAGGAAGATCAGAATTGGAGTTGAAGGTGGTGGTGAAAAACCTCTAAGAAAATAAGTTATTCCTCTACCAGCTGGAGTAAACCCTGGGACATTCCTCCACCATAGAGGCTGGGACAGCCAGGACTGTGGTGTCAAAGGCCCTCACGGGTCCTGCAGGCCCCTGCCCTGACCAGACATCAGGCCTGAGAACTGCTCATGGTGCAGGAGCCACCAGGGCTTCCCACACCCCCTCTGCAGGCCCCAGGCTCCAGCCAGTCTGACGACAACAGAAAAAAAGGGAACAAAGCTCAGGTGCCTGCTGGGAGCCAAGCACAGCAGCCCTCCTAGAGAGCTGCGTCCATCAGGGAAACCAAGCTGAAAGAATAAAAGAAGAAAGATTTCAGTACAGGACTATGTAGAGAGGTGGGGACAGAGATAGGGGGACAAGTGAGGAATCCCAAGGTACCCAGACACCAGCAACCACACGGAAAGCCGTGACTGCCCAGAGGGCTAAAGGGATGGCGCAGGTGAGCCGTGTCAGTGAAGCTGGGAAAACCAGCACCCACGCAGGAGGGCCACCCACACACATAAACAGACAAGACACTGCCAGAAACGTGGAGCTGGGGAAAGGGAGAGATACCCAGGCCTCTGGCTTCCTGCCCAACCTCCAGCCAGTGCCTCCCAGGGGCCAAACCCAACTAGCAGTCGGTCAGCCAGGGAGCCCAGGAAAGGCAGTTGGCCTCCCAGGCCACAAAGCAAGGCAAAAAAAGGGTCAAACAAGGATCTGGGAGCAAATGGGAAATTATCCACACACATAGGTACTAGTATTATCCCAAGTTTTCAGATGACAAAAGTGAGGCAAAGAAGTAAGGTATTTGCTCAGCATCACCCAAACACCGTACCGTACATTCTAGAAGTCACCTGGATGGAGCAAGCCTGCTCACTATAACAGGCAAGTCAACAGCGTGGAAAGCCCCAGGTGGCCAGCATTCTATGCTAGGAGAGCTCTTGGGTGGGGGTGGAGCAGTGGCGGGATGGGGGTTCAGGGAGTTGGCAGGGAGGGAGGCTTCCCAGAAAAGGCCATTCCTGAGCACAGTCTTGACTGAGTGTGAAACAGCAGAGGACTTCAACTCACGTCAGCCCTGTGCCTTTCCATGTGACTAACAGGTGGCAAGCTGGAAGCGGGGAGATGTAATTCTGTAAAATCTCTGCTGAGCACCTCCTTCTCCCCGCGCCAGCTGTGCGTGCTAGGCACACCCCAGGCACTCCACCTCGTCCACCTTCGCAGCCCCAGAGCTAACCTGCGATAAACGAATGCCACTATGACTTTATAGGAGGCAATGTGGGGAATGACTAAGACTTCAGACTCTGCGTCGGGCCAGCCTGGCTTTGTCTCCTGAGCCTGTGACTTTTTTTTTTACCAACAGAGCAAACTTGGGCAAGTTATATAATCTCCCTGAGTCTCCTTTTCTGAATCTATAAAGGGCCATCCTGATAGTAGAACCCACTTTATTGCAGTGTTGTTAGAATTAAATGAGGTAATGCATATAAGTGCTTGATAAATTATTATGATTGTTATGATTATCTGATTTTCCTTATTAGCAATCATTATGATTTCTATAAGCTAATAGAAATTCTATAATCTAATAGAAGTTCTAATAGAAGGAAACAGCTTACCCTAAAGGGTTCATGGAGGACTCTCCAAAAAGGGGGAGTGTTTGAACTGGATCTTCAAAAATAAATTGGAGTTCATCTTTCAGGCAGAGGAAGGGAAGACATCCCAGGCAAAAGGACAGCGAGGGCAAGGGCATGGGGCGTGAAGCATGGCCGAGGGGGAAATGGTCTGAATGGCAGCAGTTCAGTGTGACTGGGGTATATGGTACCAGGGTGAGAGAGAAGAGGAAGCAGCGCAAGATAGGGCTAGAGAAACGGTCAAGGGACTTGCAACAAATCCAACCCACATTTTCAAACCCAACCCGAATCTCAATATACCCCTGATTCTGCACCATACAACTCAGTACCTAATGATTTTTTTCTTTTTTTTTTTCTAATGATTTTTTAAAGATAGCATTATCCTCAGGATTCTTTTGTGCAATATTTTTTCTCTCTAGCTCTCTAATTCTCATGTATTACTCCTGACAAGACAGCACCAAGTCGATCTTTAGGAGAATTTTGTTGGTTGGTTGATTGGTTGATAACTCTTGGATGTTTAGAGTCTTTTCTCTGTATTAAGGGAAAAGAATTCCCCACTCAGCTCATGGTGCGTGATAGAGTCTTACCAGAGCGTCTCAAAGTGGCCCCTCCATGCCAGGACCCTGGTGACCAAGCTCGGGACATGAGCCTGGCTGGTTCCATCTCTGTCGCCTACTCAGCACTGGCCCCTGTCTTTCTTTCACTTTTTAAGGCGGGGACACATGCAGCCTGCTCCACCAGACTGACACACAGTAGATACCATGAGTAGTAGCCAACGTTATCTTCATTTTTATAAGCAACTGCTTCACTTTTAGGTCCTCAAGGTATAGACCAGTCCCGTTTCTATCACAAAGCATGTCCTGACGTTTATTATTTTCAATCACCATAATGGAAGTGTGTTAAAGCTGTAGATTCTTTCTCCTCTGGAGACCTGCAAAAGGAGAAGAGTGCTCTCTGCTGGGAATTTGTTTCTGGGTGATTTGGCCAGAAGACGGGAAGACGGGGCGGGGGAGGGGGGGCAGAAATGTTGATCTCTGCCAGTCAATTCCATGATTCCAAACAAAACCCCATCATTTTTATTAGGGATCACACAGCCTTGAGGGCAGTTAAATGACCACCAGCACAAAGGAGAAGCTCACTGAAAATAGGTCCCCTCACCCAAAGATCAAGTGTCTTGCCTTAAGTACTTATTTTAGTCAGAAACGCACAGTTTTTCCCCAAGAAAATTCTGATGTTGGAAAAGAACAGGCTAGAATTAGAAGATCTACAACAAACAAAATTTTACTATTTACAAAATCCCCTGACGTTGGGCAGCTGTTTACTGAAAGTTGACACTTTCTGGGAAGCAAGAGTTCAAACATAGATGACTGTAAATACTCTTAATAGGATGAAAGAAATTATATATCAATTTACTGATTCATTCATTCATTCATTCTTAATTGTATCAGATTCTGATAAAAATATTCTGATTTTCCCATTCACAAAACCACAAACAGTCCAGACTGTAACAGTCAACTTGGATTAACCCGGAGAGCTCAGGGTTCTGGCTAGTCGCCCACTGCAGGATACCGCCTCCAGCTCCCCTTTCCAGGATCCAATCTCAGCATTTAGTATTCTGTCTTGCAATTACCTATTTTTACATCTTTATCTCTGACCAGGAAGCAAGCTCTATGAGCTCCATTTAAGTCATACTTGTGGCGCTAACACTTGCATAGAGCCTTGCACATAGCAGTTGCTTAATAAATAAATATTTGTTAAATGGTTAGATGAAAGAGATCTGGAGTGAGCATTCATTCATATATTTATTTATTTTGTCCATTTATGCAATCTCTAGCAATACCTGGAAAGGATCTTTATCCGGAGATTTTATAAACAGAACAAAAATAATAAACTGAGAATGACTGATCTCACACATGGGGATGGGAACTGGCTCTGCCAAGTTGACTGGGTCACAGGCGGATCAGTGAATGGGTAGGGCCCGGTGCGTGGGTGATTGGAAGCTAAATGAATGGACAGATGAGTAGACACAACAAACTGCAAAGACTGGTAACAGAATTCCGAGACTAATTTTCAGCCTCAGACAGGTGTGGCTAAGGGAATTATCTGATCCTGTTCTGGTTTAGATCCTTTTTTTTTCCCATTGTCTTGGGATGAAGCCGCCTCTCTTGGGCCAGTAACAACTCCGTCCACCACAACCTACCTGCCACCCACCCACAAACGTCTGCACCTGCTCAACGTCTTGTATCTTCAGCCTTTTCCTTTTCGCTCACTGTGTTTTCATAAATGTGGTCAAGATTCTCTATTCTTAGACTTAAAACCTCTCCATTGATTGTATATTCCTAGAAAGTTACTTTCTAACCTCCCTCCTTCCCTTCACACCCACGATTCCTGTCATGGCATCTTCATTTGCTGCCTTCACGCCACCTCTTAATCGCTTTCCAACCCCCTAAAATGTGGTTTCCACACCCACCTTCTCAGAGAGACTGCTCTTGCCAATGGCATTTGCTAAAACCAATAGCTACATCCCAGTCCTTATTTTTCCTGCTGCAGCGTTTGCCACTGTTAGTGAAACTTCTTAAAGTGCTTCTCCCTCAGGATTTGATGATGTTATTCTCATATTTATATCAGGATTTTCCCTCACTGTTTCAGACTCAATTTTGGGGGTCATGATCCTAAACTGCTGAGGCTCCTCAAGCAGTTCAACTCCGAGCTCCTCAACTCTGAGCTCTTCTTTCTGTAAATACTCATTCTGGTTGGACTTATCTAAATCCATGCCTCTAAAAACCATCTATATGCTTGTGTCTCAAAAACACTGTCTCTCTAACCTAGAGCGTTCTCCTAAGCACCAAATCTACGTATGGAGCTGCCTGCTGGGCATTGTCACCTGGGCGTACCAGAAGCTGTTCAAATTCGGCATGTTTAAATTAAACTTGGCATTCCCTGCAAATTCTGCTCCTCCTCCCTGTTCTCCATCCCAGTGAATGTCCCCTCCATCCACTCAGACACTCAGACCAGAAACCTTCATCTCTACTTGTCACCAAGATCTGTCCATCCTACTTCCTTAAAATCTTTCAATTCCATCCAATTCTCTCCACTCTCATATCTGCCGCCTTAATTCAGGCCACCATC